TACGGAAGAGGATTTAGGCCACTGAAAAAATTAAAAAAGTTAACTGATTTTTTAATTTAATTACTGTATAAAATAAGAAAAAAGTCAGAATCCTGATATTAAAGTCAGAATTCTGAGAAAAAAAGTAAAAATTCTGAGAAAAAAGTCAGAATTCTGAGAAAAAAAAGCCAGAATTCTGAGATTAAAGTCAGAATTAAAGCCATATTAAACTGAAATAAAATTAAACAATCAGTTAACTTTTTAAGTTTTTCAGTGGCCCTAATCCTCTTCCATAATAAAGCATCAAGACTATGGAGGAAAAAACAAGTACTGTGTAGCAAACAAAAACTGAATTAAATAGTTGCCCAATGTTCTTACTTTCACATTCTTCAAAATCCCCCTTCTTTTCTGATAAGCATGATCTCAATGAGCTTCACGGTTTTCCAACAGTCTAGAAGAAGTTCCCAACATCAGTAAAAACAAAACAGTCCATTGAAAAACAAAGTTTGCCCAAACCTTGGACTAGTAGTGACAGAGCTTATTAACATATAAAATGATGCTATACATACTTTTACTACTGAAAGCTGTCACCTATAATGGTGCATGGTTTTAAGTATAACAATTTTTAAATTAATATTTCTCTGTAGTATTTTCTTATGGCAAAACTCAGATTTTCCATATCACAAGTTTTAAAAATGTTCTATTTATTTGCTCTTATAATGCAGGTTTTTGCATTGCTACCGATGTCATTCCCTTTAGCATGTTAACATTTGATCAGGTGGAATTGATAAAGTTAAAAACACTTTATGGGGTTTAATGTAAAAGCGAAGTACAAAGTAATGTCAGCTTAAAATCTACAGATTGTTTTCAACATTTTATACCATTTAACTGGAGCAGCAACCATATAAGGCCTCCTTCTGCTGCAGTTATAGTATGATGGAAGGCTTCTGACAGCTTTGCACACATCACTACTGAACAGTGAACCTCTGTTTTAATACTTTTCAAGCAAAAGACAGTGTTCGTCCAATATTACCCAGTATTTAGCAGCACTGTCAGTTTTTCCTTTAAAAAAATAATTTACATGCCGAAATGTAAATATCAGCTCATCAGAGAACTCCTTCCACAGTGTTATACATTATAGATCTAGGAAAGCATGGAAAAGCTGTGCGCAACACCCGTGGTTGTACAGCAGAGGGCGTCCTTATCCTTTTCTTTGATTTGGCAGCCATCTACCAGATTTAATCAGCCCTACAGAATACTACATATTCAATATATAATTAAAGCAAATATAAACTCTGAGTGAGATTACTCTAATTTTATTTCTGATCCCCCTTTGAGTGTTCGATAGATATAATGATCCCATTATGCCTTTATTAAGAAATCGTTATTTGATGAGGTGTCGCCAAAATAAAAACTTATAGACGGATATTTTTAAAAAAAAATATTCCAAAAGAATGACAGGATACAATCTAATAATTAATAATTATGACTTAACAGGTTTGTCGGGAATTCAGCTACTGTCGGAATTTACACCTGTGGCCTACGAGGCGCGTCTTTCAAATATGGCACAAATATAGAGGTGCCTTATTTTGGAGGGGATGAGGCGCCGGGGCCATTTAGCCGGGGGTGGGAGCACGTCGCGCAGGGATGAGAGTGGGAGGTCCTTTGTGGCGTGACGTCGCAATTGGCCCGGTGTTTTTTTTTTTTTTTTTTTTCTTCTATAGCAGGGTCTCCATACTTCTCTATCTCCCTCGGTGTTCAGTGGGTGAGAGGGGGGAGACGAGCTACACGCAGAGGAGAATCCGGGCGTGCGCCTCCGGTAAATGACGCCCACCATTCATGCATTAACTCTCCCCATTACGCATGCCTTTTACATATCTGTGTCTGGGTTTCCTCATCCTCTGATTTCTCCCTCCTCTCTAGTCATCATCATTATCATCATCCTGCTTGCCATCCCTCTTTCCATCACAGCGCCGGTTCTGGAACAGCCCACTTCGGTCCTGGAGACGCCCGAATCTGCAGCAGCAGCGGCAGCAGCGCGATCTGCGTTCTTCCCCCCCAGCCTTTTATCTGAATGACGGGCGGAAGGTTTGACTTCGACGACGGTGGCACTTACTGCGGGGGGTGGGAGGATGGCAAAGCCCACGGGCACGGCATCTGCACCGGACCCAAGGGCCAGGGCGAATACGCCGGGTCCTGGTCGCACGGCTTCGAGATCGTAGGGGTGTACACCTGGCCCAGCGGGAATACCTACAAGGGCTACTGGTCCCAGGGGAAGAGGCACGGGCTCGGAGTGGAGAATAAAGGCAGGTGGATCTACCGAGGAGAGTGGAGTCACGGCTTTAAGGGTCGCTATGGGGTCCGGCAAAGCCACAACACACCTGCTAGATACGAGGGGACCTGGAGTAACGGGCTTCAAGATGGATATGGGGTGGAAACCTACGGCGATGGCGGTAAGAGTCCTCAGTGCGTCTTTAGGAGATCATGTGTTATGCAGCCTATGTGTGGGTTGACCATATTTGTGTGAATCTACATATGATTCCAGCTGGGATTGCGCGCAGCAGTTTCCTCAACCTCTTTCTATAATAATAATAATAATAATATATTATATGTGGGTAAACTTGCTTCTTTTATGACTCCTTGTTTATATTGGGAGTGTATCTTATTTGACAACTACCGGTTGCTCTTCGCAGGCTGTGGGAGGAGTGAAAGTCCTCTTCAGTGGCACCATGCCTGATGAAGAGGGTGATTTGACATCAAAGCAGTTCAGCCCACTTAAAGCATATCCAGAATAATAATCTCTATCATTCTGTCATGTTTGTATTGAACATTCTGTCTTAAACCAACCCCCCAGCAAGTGTGTGTATGTTGGTACCCATATAGATTTTGCTTAGGCTGCATTGGCACACATGCTGCCTGAGCTCACTTGTGTGCAATATAGGGGAAATTATTGGCAGTTCCTGGTGGGCAGTTTTTAAGTATATATAAAAAGATATTACATAATTAGAGGATTGGTCAAAAATACTTATTTTTTCCACTTTTGATCAACAGTTTATATAGATGAAAACTAAATGTCAAGTTATGCAACCGATCACTGTCCCACTGTTTCATATCATCTTGGGCTAAATTTTTAGCCCATTTCCTATTTTATCACTCATATGAGATCAGGCTTCATCAAAGGAATTAGAAAACATACCAGCTGCTTAGGATGCCCCACAGGGGTCAGGAAGTTGGGATTACATGTCTGAGAAAATAAAAATACAGTACTTTATTAACTGATTGTATAAATCAGGTGTGATGTATAAGTGTGGGGTATATCCCAGTAAAAACAAACAAAAACAGCTGTTTGGTTTGCCAAATTGAATATACAACAGGTTAATTGAATTTATTCCATGGATAACTGCTCTGTGATTATTTTTTTTTTAAGCTTAGTATAACTTTTTAAGGAATTGATCTGAAAAGGTGCCATTTTTTTATGTTTAATTTTATACAAAATTGCTTCTTACATAAGTTTTCAATACTTATGAACTGGGGCTAAGTGAAACTTTCTTTTATAACAAAGTCCGGAATTACCTTTTTATTTTGGGCTGTTTGTGTTTGGATGGGTTTGTTTAGAATAAGTTTTCTATTTAAGAGGATCTGTAATGATTGGAACATGTCTGCATCATGAAGGTTTGTTACCATAATTCTGCACATTAATTTTTTCAGGTTTACTAGCATGCGGGAGTTAAATATTTGTCAAAGGTCAAAAATATAATATATAAGATACATCAGTTGTAAACTTTTATTTGTTTTATCCATATTAACTAATGAAGATAGAAGAGAATGCAACTACTTTTAGCATTTATTTAATCATCTTTATTTACTTTAACACAATTGTTTTATGTCCTACCCTGCTAACATGGAACAATTATGTTAAATTAACTAAATAGGAATAAGTAAATGGTTGAATAATTTTTTTCAGTATGTTAAATAGGTTTTAAGGTGCAGGTTTTTACATAGAACAACTGACTGCACAAAAAAGAGCAAATCTAAACCAAGTACACTTTTCAACAGTACAAGTTTATTTTAGATGATGATGATGATGATGCCAGAGAAAGTGGAAAATAGATGGAAGCTTTCTCCAGTTGCAGAAAGTAATAAAGAAGGCCTGCACTATGCCTCCTGCAGCATTTGTTGCTACTTACTGCCAGTCAGCTGGCTGAAGGAGGACTCGAACAGTTTTCCTTTGCTTGAAAAAAGACAAATTGATTTTTTTGGAAAAATATCTAGTTGCAAAAAAAGTTTAGCTTAAATCTACCTCCAAAAGTTATTGTTCATTTTTACATTCATACATAGGTCTCTCCACTGTAGCAATAAGTAGAGATATTAAATAAAATAACAATAGCAAGTACCAATAACTTAAGATATAAAATTAACATAACCATAATGCCCTGCAATGGACTGGCGACCTATCCAGGGTGTACCCTGCCTCTCGCCCGTAGACAGCTTGAGATAAGTACAAGCACCCCCTCGTGACACCACTTGGGATAAGGCTGACGGAAAATGGATGGATGGATAAAACCATAATGATTATTTATCTATATTAGTTTAGCAATGTTAGGCATATTTGTGGCCTTGTTTAAATGACATTAATTGTCCATAGCTGTATATTGGTTATGTATTCTCCAGGTGCACAGTATTTATATTGTTAAAACACTTTACAGTACAGTATTTTATTGTTTATTTTTTTTGTCTTTACTACTATGTTCTTATATATTTTTTTAAGCTCCACATTTATGTGACCATTTATTCTATAATGTGTTTGCTGCTGTAAACAGCAGAAATTCCCCATTATAGGACAACAAATGGATTTTCAATTCTATTCTATTCTAATTACATCATTTTATATTAAAAAAAATGTAATTTAGAGTTGTGGGGCAAACAAAAAAGGACTCATGATTACCTAATTTACATCAGTGATGCATTTTACCACTTCTATTTGGCTCATGAACCCAGGCTGGTGAAGATTGGTTTACCCCCAAGTGATGAACCTGTCTTACACTTCAGCTGTCAGGGGTCACAATCAGGGTCTAACCTGAAAGTACTTGATTCACAAACAAATCTGTGACCTGAATATTCATTTTCTTGAAGTTGCGTATTGCTCCAAACATATCAGTCATACTGGAAGTCAGAGAATATTTCTAGTTTATATTTTGTGTGTGTAAAAATAAGCACAACATAACCACTGATCTAATCCATAAGAAGGTTTTTCCAACGTGCACAAAAAAAAAAAAAAACTCTTAACCGATGCCTTATGGTTCAGAATAAATACTTTACATATGATGGGCACAGATTGCTGGGCTCAGTAAATCAGCTGATCCTACAGGATCTACTCAACATCTGGCTGTCTGACCCTGCTGCATCCTGATCACTTGATCTGCAGGGTTACTAAATTGGACTGCAGCGCACAGCCAGCCTTTTAATCTTACACTGTTTATCCATCTGAATTCCTGGCCAGGCTAGTGTAGTTTTTTTCCCATGTTTTTTTGTTAATATGTGACCACAGGAGCTTTTTTCATTGTGTTCTGAATTGCAATTGGAGCAACGTATTAATTAGGAGCAGGATTGTAATATGATGCTTTGAAGAAGCTACATTAGACTAACACATGCTCACTGGGGCTCAGCAGCACAGAATGGGATTAATAAACTATTCTCCTCATTATGTGACTCATAGCAATTCCCTGTCGTCACCAGCAAACAGATAAAAGTAAAGTTTGCCTACCATCAGTGAGAAGAGGTAATTGCTGCCCGTAAATAGGATCCTACCTAAATGGTTCTTGTTTATTCCAAGCAATCACTGAATCTGGTCTTTAAATTAATTTAGCTGAGCTCTCCATCACTGTTCAAAAGAGCACATTTTATAAACCAATGTACATCTAGCACCAAAGCACGCTTCTTTTATCCTGTATGTAAGGTGTGTTAACTACAGAACCTTTGTAAATTTGGCAAACCCCTGCAGAAATGCCCTTCATACTTTCCTACAGCCAATAGTCTTTGTCTCTTCTTTTTACTTAGTTGGTTTTAGAAAGAGAAGTTGTGGAAACAGCTCAGTTTTTTCCATTTACGACTATTAAGTTGTTAAAAATATATTAAACAGATTACATTGGAGTTTTCTCTAACAGTTTCCAATCTTCACTTAGATACGTTTCTAAAGATTGAGAAAGTTTCCTCACTTCAAAATATTTTCACATTGTAGGCTTGATAGTTTCCAGCTTAAATAAGGAGAAATACCATGACATAAGCAGCATATGTAAAGAGCTTATAAGAAGCCAGTGATCTAATTAGAAAAGTTTAAGGAAACCCCTTCAACTCACACATTCATTTCTACTTGCCCCTAGGAACCTATCAAGGCCAGTGGATGGGGGGGATGCGTCACGGTTATGGTGTCCGTCAGAGTGTTCCCTATGGCATGGCCACCGTCATCCGCTCCCCGCTTCGTACCTCCATGGCCTCCTTGCGCTCCGAGCAGAGCAACGGTGCAGTTCTCCATGACCTCTCCTCCCCTGTGGACACACCAACAGGAACCCGTGGCGGCTTTGTCCTCAACTTCCACTCAGACAGTGAGGTTGTCACCGGGAAGAAGAAAGGCCTTTTCCGCCGGGGATCTCTTTTCGGCAGCCTCCGGCAGTTGCGCAAGTCTGACTCTCGGACCTCTATCTCCAGCAAACGCAGCTCAGCAAGAAGTGACGCCACCATGAGCCGAATCAGTTCAAGTGATGCAAACTCCACCATATCCATCGGTGACGGTGAGCTGCCAGACGAGGACCTACTTCTGGAGGACCATGTTGACGCAACCACAACTGAGACCTACATGGGCGAGTGGAAGAACGACAAGCGGAATGGATTTGGTGTTTCAGAGAGATCCAATGGGATGAAATATGAAGGAGAATGGCTTAACAACAAGCGCCATGGCTACGGGTGCACTGTTTTCCCAGACGCCACCAAAGAAGAAGGGAAGTACAAAAATAACGTTCTGGTGCGTGGAATAAGAAAGCAGTTGATTCCTCTTAAGAATCCCAAAACCAAAGAGAAGGTTGATCGGGCTGTGGAGGGGGCGCAGAGAGCTGCAGCCATTGCGAGGAGTAAAGTGGAGATAGCTGCTTCCAGGTACTGTGATGTTTATTTGCGCTTGTGTGTTCATTTATTCCCCTGTATTTGCATGTGGGTGTGGACTGTTTAAACAAATAAAGACAAAAGTACCTCCTCAGGTCGTTTTTGTCATAGACTGACTGCACTAAATTGTCCAGTGATCCGGTTCTCCTCATACACCATCAGCAGTCAAGAAATCTGTGTTGCCGGGGCAATCGACCCTGGAAGAAGGTTCTGCTTCTATTCTCTGCACAAGCTTTTCATTCCCAGAAAGATGGGTCAGGCGTCTTTGTTTGCACTGTATGCGTGATTCGTGTGTCTTTAGAGTTCATGTGTTGGAGCTGTATGACCCTTAGCAGTGCCCACACCAAGTATTGCTCTGATGTGGCATCTGCTCTTTAACAGGTGAATGTGATGTGACCTTTTCATCTAGAGCCCCCCGCTCCCTTCTAACCCCCACCGGCACCACACTGGGGGCTGAGAGCATTGCTTTGACATCCTCTCCTTTCATTGCATCAGGGAATTGTACGAGTGATGACTGAGCGAAAGAGTACAAGCTGGGAAAAGGTTTTGATGCAATCAGGCATGGTTGATTTTTGTTCCTGCTCTCCCAAGGGGGGAACATAAATTTGCATGTTTGAACTTATGAACCGCAATTTATAACATTTGAAATCCCAAACATCTTAGTGCCATTCATACTCAAATAGTTAAAAGATAATTTAATTTAATAATTTGGTGCAATTATAGAATACTCTTTAACTAGCTTTCATTTTTATATTGCCTATTTTTTGCCTTGTATTAAAAAAATAGAATACGGTAATTTCAGATTATGAAGATCTCAAATGTTGAATTTCAAATATGGTTGTTATCTTATTTGTAAATGAAAACAACCTGCAGTATAGAGAGACATCATGCATGTCAGAGAAGGGCCATTGAGGTTGAAATAATCCTACCAGGAAAAGAGAAAAATAGCGGATGTTTTTAAAAGCAAAAGGCCATCTGATATCCTTTTTGGTTGTTTGCAGAAGGAAACACTAAATCCAATGCATGGCATTAAAGCAACACAGAGGAAAGGATTCGGTTTGTACAAAGTGTTTATATCAGACAGCAGGTTTCCCTCCACCTAACAGAGTGATCTAATTACCCTCTCCATCGTACCCTGCAGTCTTAAAACTACCTGCCATGATATTTTTCAAGAGTTCGGTTATGTACTGAGCTACATAAAATAAAGAGTCGTAAGCAGGTTACATAAGTCTGATTGTACAGTACAGTGCCCTGTGAAAGATTCACTCGCATTGATCTGGATCTATTCACATGACTCACGGTCTTTGATTGTGCAGCGTTCCCAGAGGACTCAGAGGGAAACAGGCAAGCACAGTTGGAGAGTGAAACGGATTAAATGGTATGAGTTCTAAGAGAGAACGACTGGAGGAGCTGCATGTTTGCTGAGTTGATGGTTTGTGAGGGCAGAAATGATGGAGAACGGGGGAAAGGTATGGACAACCCCCCACCCCCAGTGGATTTATAGCAAAGTGGAGCTATCCCATCCGCCTCTGGGATGGAGCTGATGACCTCATGCTTGTGATGAGCTAATCAATATAGAGCTAGTGTGATGCAGTGGAGCAAAGTTCTCTGTCTCTCATTCACGGTTATTTTGCCCGCCTATCTTTGCAACAATTTCACTCCCCAGCTTGCAAACATGAAGGTGTGTTTGTGTGGTTAAATGAGGCCTGGAAACTGAGATAAGTGACCATGCCGCTGAAAGGTTTTACAGACTCACGAAGCTTCTCCTCCGATTAACCTTTTTTTTTTTTTTGGTACAGTTCATCAGTTTAGGTAACTTGGTAACTCAGTACTTTCTCTGCAGATACACAGATGCTGTGTGCAAGGCATTGTAAGGGCCTTTATAAGATTTCCGCCTCATGTTTAAATTGTCACTTCATATATACAAATCAGAGGTGTTAAAAGAACTTTACTGGTGCATGTCAATAAATTATAGACATCGATAACACCATGTTAATTCTGATGAATAAAGCTAACAGCTAAGGAAAGACCTGAAATTTAACTCCTCAGAAAACTACTGTGAAGTATAATGGAAAGTTTTGTAGAAGGAAAAAGTATAAAAGGAAAATGTGCACAATCCAGTTTCTTGAAAGAAGAACCACCAGATGAAATAAACTGAATGAGCTGACAGCTGCCATTAAAAAAAAACTTCAGTTTTTTTAACATCTTGGCAGAAAGACAGGCAGTTTCCCTCCGTGCCATGTCACACACACGCAGTAATTCATGCAAAGAAAACCCTACAGTACCAAGTATTGAGATCATATGTCGCATAGTAGATGGGAAAAATCTCTAATAGGCTGACATTTCTATAATATTATAAATTTTTGGTTTATGTATTAAATGAATGGCAATTGTGAATTTCCTTTGTTATTGATTGATAAAGTCATATAAAAAGATTTCATATACACGGTGTTATATATTGTAAATTAGACTTTTTTGGTCCAAATTAAGTCATTTATAAAGGTCACATGGTGGCTAACTTGCCAATACCGCTGTCTTTTAGCAAGATGTTTTGTGGGTTCAAATCCATGTCAGGCCTTTTCTGTCTAGCTTTTCCTTGTTGTTATGTATTGTTATCTGTGCCATCCAAAAAACATGTATGTTAGGTCAATTGTAGGTGTGTATCCTATTGTTGCCTGGTGAACTACTATTAACCTATGCAGGGTTTATGCTGCCTCTTACAAACTGATTTCTGGAAATAGACTTGCTATCCTGCAAATATTTCTTTTTAGTTTTCCGGGATATGGGACATGCTTTTCAGGCCAGTTTGTTGTTGCCTTAACATTAAACATAGTAACTTTAACCGACTTTGTTGGGTTGAAAACTTTGTTGGGGGGGTACTGTGACGGCAAATTAGTAAGATGAATTAGGCTAAAATCAATTTGACAAGTTTTATCAAGACAGACTTCAACAAGATAGAAATATCTTGATATTTTTGTTATAATGAGACCTTATGGTGTGAGATCTCCTTAAACCCTTATGGTTTATGTAACGGCAGAGTATCAAAGTGAATAGGAACGGAATCTTGTTCTGTAAAACAGCTAATTAAGCTCCTTTTCAATACTTCCATTTAAATAAGTAGTGGAGTGGCTGAACACGTGCACTTCTATCTATATGCATTCACTTATTCAGAGCCCAGTTATTTCCGCTCATGAACCCCTCACATACATACACACTCTGTCACACACAGTCTGCTAAACAAACATACAGAGAACATGCACTGTGTGTGCGTCCCTGCTAGTGTATCAGTGCTTACTGCTGCCTAAATAAGGCAAGGCATCAGTTGGCTTATCAGCACCAGCCAGGAATATATACCCGTCCCAACACTGATACAGGCCATGCCATCTCAGTGACACGACCATCTCTCCTAAAACATGTGTTTAAATGTGTGTTTAAAGTGTTTAAAAATGGGGGGGGGGGTTACTAAACGGAATTGGGCAAAGCTTTCTGAGAGTACCGATGTGAAAAAATGTTTGTTACGTGTTTGTGGCTGTTGTGTCCGGGCTGTTTGTTCATCACCTGCTGTGTGGGGTGACCTCAGCCACACACCACCAGCTCCTTTTTTGGGGAAAGTTATTTAGCAACACGTGAGCAGAATAATCCCAGCCCTCTGTATAACATCAACTGTCCCACAACAGCAGGGGCTTCTTCTGAAGCAGCTGTACAGTCAAATATTTCTTAATATTTGACGTTCTCCTTTTGTGTTTATATTAATTTTCTTTTGAAGAACAATTACTATGACATTATTAAAGTATATATGACCTAAAGGTGTGATAAACGCCATGATTCTGAGATAAATCTACCCTCACGTTATAACATAGTGCAACATAACCTTGTTTTACTGAATCATATACTTAGATGTACACATACAAACTAACTGGCCAAATAGGGCTTATATATTGTTAATATTTAATTCTAGGGTCACTACCAGCTACTACATATGACAGAGCTATAAATAAATCTGCTGATGCAACGACACATCTCATCATCAGCTAGTTGAGCAGTTTTCAAATGACCCACTGAGCAATCAAGTTACGCTGTGAAATTTAGTCTTCTGTACCTCACTGCATTACTTTTATATGAAGTCTTAGCTTGCAGTCATGTGTCAGAGTAGGCACTTAAAGAAGTAATATAATAGCTACCCCATTATTAACAAGATCATTTCCATTTTGTGGTTTTACAGCAGCCTTTGTATTTATTGGTGCTTGTGTTACAAATGCATAAAAAGTCCCTTCTAGAAAATTAATTGAAATCATTTTAGTATGTTTATTTAAAAACCATAGCATTTACATGTCGTCAGACACCCCTGAATAAAATCCAACTGCCCATAGATGTGAATTTATAGATGTGTAATATTATCTTAGCATAAATTTGGAGGTTTTGCGAATGCATAGAGGATGGTGGGGAAAAAAGCATTGTGAAGACCAAGGTCAGGTTGAAAGTTCTTGAGAACTGAGCACTTCCGTGCATCATCTAGAAAATTAAATGCAAAAGCTGCAGCTGTAGATCTTCCAAGACATGGACTTCCATCTAAACTAACAGGTCAGATGAAGCCGCTGAGTTCTACAGCTCAGGTAGGAGAATCATTATCAACTGATAATGAGCTCCACAAATATGGCATTTATTGAATAGCTGCCAAAAAAACACCCATGCTGAGTGTGTGCGTGAATGGGTGAATGACTGAAAGCACTTTGGTCAAGTCTTCTGAAATTAAAAAGTGCTATATAAGTACAGTCCATTTACCATAAAACAAATACATTACTGAAATAAAGCTGTAAGGGTTTACTTTTTCAGCACAAAGTGTAGGGGACAGGTAAAACGGTTGTGGAAGGAGGATGCTAAAAATCCCCCTCAAAAGCCTTTTCATGTGGTTGAACATGATGGTGGCAGCATTATACTGCAGGGTGTTTTCTTTGTTTAGCTGGAGCAGGGAATCTGGTCACATTTTATTGGCA